TTTGTGCTCAGCAACGGCCAATGCTTGCGAGCGCTGCTTACGCGCCAATGTTTGGCGAGGTTGCTTAACAACCCACCTTTTAGCCAGACCGACTAGTTTTCAAAGCCCTCGGCATTCAGAGGCAGAGGTTTCTGAGGTAGGCTCGAGTTGAATTATCAGAAGCAACGTGGGCTAAAGTATCGTAAGAGACTCTGTGGCACTTGCGTGCTTTTGTAGGACTCAAAGTACGAGAAGGGAGGAACTCCTAGTACTTGGATTGGTCAAACTCGATTACAAGAGTCTCAACGTTAGATCCCACGATGATCTTATCTGATTGCACCACGATCACTTCATCAGAGAAAATGAGTTCTCCCACTGTGGTCGCTATCTTCTGTAGGTCATAAAAGATGATTCTGAATTTGTATTGATTGAATTGTGTATTACAAATTGGAAATCTCTTTTACACAGAAGAAGAGAGAATTGATTCGATCACTCTTTTGTTTAACGTGGGATCTTTGGAGAGAAAGGATGATTCGCTCGATACTTGAGTCAAGTTTGCTTCCCGTTGACGATTTGAACAAGGTTGTGAACAAACTTCCTCGCGTGGTAGAAGTTTTGTCGGAGTTCGAGTACCCGAGCTAGGATGCTTGAAGGCCGAATGCACAATTCTCTCAATGCTTCGTTCCTTCTTTTCTCCTCCGCCCCTTCTTTTGGTAGCCATTAGTGGTTATTTATAGAGGAGAATGATGTGTAACCATCTCCTATGAACGTGGGAAGTGGGCACAACCGCTTCCACATTTAAAGCCTTAGTGACTGACTTGGTCAAGCAGTGCAGACGGACTTGACGCTACAGGCGGACTTGAACGTTCAGGCGAGCTTGGCACCCTTGAAGGCGGGTTAGAGCACGCAGGTGAACCTTGTAGGTGAAGTTAAGTGTTTAGGCGAACTTAACTTCGCATGAGCCATCCTGACGAAGCTTGATCACTTCAAGCGAACTTAACTCTGCATGAGTCATTGAGGCGAAGCTAAGTTATCAGGCGAACTTAGCTTTGCCGACGAAGTCAAGTATTCAAGCGAACTTGACTTCGTTCAGGCAAACTTGAATGCTCAGGCGAAGTTCAAGGTTCAGGCGAACTTCGTTCTTTGCGGGCGAACTTCAGGCGATGTTTAACTTTCAGACGAAGTTCAGTGTTCAGGCGAACTTCGTTCTTTCCAGGCGAAGTTCAGACGATGTTCAGCTTTCAGGCGAAGTTCAGTGTTCAGACGAACTTCGTTCTTTGCGGGCGAACTTTAGGCGATGTTCAGCTTTTAGGCGAAGTTCAGTGTTCAGGCGAACTTTGTTCTTTGCGGGCGAACTTCAAGCGATGTTCAACTTTCACGTGAAGTTCAACTTATTAGGAATCTTGATCCTAAAATTAGTTTGTTTTGATAATAACAAATATTATATGTTATATGTATTATGTGCTAACATTTGTTTTGCAGTATCAGAGCTATATCAACAATTATATTCAAAGAGATACTCAAGACATAGATGAGTTCAAGGCAAAATAAAGCAAAGAAGAAGATATACTTTATTGTCAAAATATAATTTTATATTTTCTTTGCTTAGAAATTTGTACAAGCCTTGATCACTCACACACATGCACACACATAGTATTAGAACACACTAACACATGCTTAGTGTGTTGGTTAATAATAAAAATCTCCTATGTTAGCCATTATAGTTTATAGATATTGAGTGGGTATTAAAATATTTTATTTATACCCCTTAGAAATTAGAATCTCTAAAAACTTAAAAGACCAAAGTTGTAGGTCTCTTCAATAGCTTTCCAACAAATCTCAAATCACCTCGTTCCGATATCGGATGAGAAAGTTACAACCAAAATACTAAAAACAGAATTCCAGAATCTGTGAGTTTACAGTGTAGTCGACTACTAAGCCTTGTAGTCGACTACTGAGTAATTTTATGACTTCACAGAGTCTGTTTAGACTCAGTGTAGTCGACTACTATGACTTGTAGTCGACTACAGATGCAGTTTTTCCAGATTTTAGGTTTTGAATAAGTGACTGTTTATAGCCGTTTTGTGGACGTTAATTGGGTTTAAAATTATGTCATTTCATAGGCTATAAATAGGTTTAAACATCAGAAAATAAGCACCAAGTTTTGCACTTGTAAGATTCACATATTGTGCAAATTAACTCTCTAAACTTTTAGTTTTTCAATCTGTTTTCCATAAAAGAAAGTTTCTGATATTACCTTTGTTCCTATCATTCTTAGAGCTTGTTTAGGCAATATTCAGAGAGTTAAAAAGATTGATAAGCTACTATTACACGTTCACATCCACATCAACGCTTATAGGATTAGAATTGTACATGAATTCAATGAAGGTTCTCTCAGGTTTGAGAGGGTTGATCTCTTGGTCTAGAAATCGGTGTGACGATTGGCATGGTCTTGTCAATTGGGTTACAATTTGCATGGTCTTGCAAATTGATCAGGTTTGCTTTTGATTTTGTAAGGTTTCAAAATAATAGTGGAAACTCTCAAGCGGGATTTGTTTGGAGACTGGATGTACATCGGGGAGGTGGAACCAGTATACATGCTTGTGTTTGTGATGTTTATTTTCTGAGATTGTCATTCTTTCTTTATAATTTATAATCTACTTTGCAAACTCACCCTCTAGTGTTTAAGTGTAAAGCTTTCGTAGATTTTTATAAGAGCACGCTTTATTCTTAAGGGTCACGATCCTACACTTGGTATACATAAGCAAAAACAGGACCCTACACAACTTTTAGGTGAAGTTCGTTCTTCGTGGACGAACTTAAATCTTTGCAGGTGAACTTCAAGCGAAATCCAGCCTCGCAGGCGAACCTTTGATCTTCTTTTGTTAGGGATAAATGTAATTTTATTTGCCTACACAAAGATCATAAATGGCGAAATGCAATGGCAGAAGAATTTATTGTACTCATTAATAATAACACATGGACATTGGTTCTATTTGATGAACTTAAAACTTTAGTTGGCTCTAAGTGGATTTACAAGATAAAATACAATTCAGATGGATCCATTGAGCGGTATAAAACTCGTTTGGTTGCTCAAGGTTTTCATCAGCAAGCTGAAATTAATTTTCATGAGACTTATAATCCTGATATTAAACCCACTACTATTCACCTCGTTCTTTCTTTAGCTATCTCTTTTGGTTGGGTCATTTGACAACTTGATGTTAAGAATGCGTTCTTACGTGGTTTTCTCACTGAAGAGATGTACATGAAACAACCTCCGTGTTTTGTTCATCCTCGTTTCATGCACCATGTTTGCAAAACTGAACAAGGCTATTTATGGTTTAAAGTAGGCACTACATACTTAGTTTTAATGTTTTAGCAGTTTTCTCCTATCTTTTGACTTCGAAAGCAGCAAAACTGATACCTTCATGTTTCTAACTTGAAGATGTCCTAATATTCTTATACTTTTTTATATATTGATGACATTGTTCTTACAGGTAATTCACCTACTCTTACATCGTTTCATTAGCTTATTGTCTCATCAATTCGCAATGAAGGATCTTGGTGATAGTTATTATTTTTTGGGTATTCAAGTTACTCGTATGGCAGATGCTATTTTCTTGACTCAACATAAGTATGCTCAGGATCTCTTACATAAATTTTAGTTTCACACTCTTACACCAATCCGTACTCTGATTGCAGCTAAGACTACTTTATCCCTAATTGATGTAGAATTATTAACGGAATTTTCTGAATATAGGAGTATGGTTGGTGCTTTACAGTATCTTACAATTACAAATGCCAGATATTACACTTGCTATTCATAGACTATCTCAATTTATGCATTCTCCTCCGACTACTCACCTACTTGCTGTAAAAAGAGTTTATAGGTACTTGATAGATACATCTGATCAGGGCTTATCACTTCATCATGCATCTCAACCGACTACAGTTATTGCGTATTCTGATGCTAATTGGGCAAATTTCCCGATAGCTTTCGCTCTACATCTGGATAAGCTATTTTCTTTGGTCCTAACCTCATTTCTTGGCGCTCCAAAAAGTAACCGACTGTGTCAAAATCCTCTATTGAAGTAGCCTACCAGGCTTTTGCATACACAGTGGCTGAGACTATGTGGATTCACCATATCTTGGATGAGCTCGACATTGTCCTTCGACACTTGATGACTCTGTTGTGTGATAGTGTTAGTGCTACCCACATTACTACCAATCCAATTCTCAATGATCGAAGCAAACATATAAAGGTTGATTATCATTTTGTTTGGGAGAGAGATGCTGATGATGATTTAGTGGTTCAATATGGTCCGACTCATCTTCAACTTGCGAATATCTTCACTAAGGGCTTATCGCTCAACGGTTTCTCTTCTTGAAGTCCAATCTGTCCATGTGTCTTCCCACACAGATTTTTTTTAGGTTGGGTGGGGTAGGGTGGGATGGGGGGGGGGGGGGTTA